AACAGTTGCTATCAAAGCGATCAAAAATCGTGGCACTAGAAGGATCGATTGCTCAGTTGGAAAACATCATTCTGATCCAGAGCACGGTTGAACAGAAACATGCAGAAGCTGATCGTGAAGCTGACCGTTTGAGACAAGATATCCCCTTTGTAGGAGATGTTGTTCAATCCTCTGAGTCCATTGAGAGTATCGAGGTGTCAGCGTCAAACGTCACATCTGGAGTAAATACATGCAACTCGAACGCTTCCTCGTATTACTCCATGATACAGAAAGTGCAAGAAACACATAGCAAGGAACAGCGCGTACTCGTTCGTGGTCTTTTAACACAGCACTTGCGATGCCAAAWCGCCAACCGACATGTCGGTCAACTTTTGGCATCTTCAAGAGCAATGCTGGAGGCAACTGATCTCTCCTCGGAGAACTCGGAAGCCGCCGATACATTTGGCAAGTGCTTGATGCARTATACCGCTGCATCGATTTCTGCCAAGCGATACATGGACGAATTARTATCGAAGACTGGTCACGAAGATATTCTCGAAATTCAAGAAATGCCATCTTTCGTGCCCAGCGATCTTGGAGACGAAACGATCGAAGATTCTATTCGAAGCAACAGATCTCTTGCCCTAGCGTCAAACCCTTGGTTGAGAAATGCGCCATTGTGGGAACAATTGTGGTCTTCCTTTTTCATGGCCAGAACAAGCCCTCTGAGAATCTGCCATAGCGCCGTGCAACGTCTTTGTTCTGGGATCCTCTCGGGTAATGGTGGYGTCARATCGTCCATTGGTCCATCGAGGTGGGGAATCTCGTCCCTGTTTTTAAGAACTCCTCCAGAACATAACCCAGAGCAATCCTTATAGAGCGCAGGATGCAGATAACAACAACAAATCCCTCTCCTCTAACATCATATTTTGAAGCCATCACAAAATAATGCACGGCAAATAATTGTTTTACTTACACTCTCAATGTTGAATAGCAAACAAATAAAARTATTGTTTCCTGCTTTCTGTAGTGCAAACCAATGAAATGAACTTTTTTGTATCTAGTATGSGTATTGCAGGTAGTACGGTACCATACTCGTTGTTAGCACAAATGGATCATTATATTATTAATATTATTAATTATTACTGTATTTCTTAAGTACCTTGTACTTCCGATCACTTGTAGGKACGGTACAGTATGATGTAACAGAGGCTTTGCTCGCCCAGTGCTTGTACCCATAACGTACCATAAAATGTAACTGTTGAGTAGCTCAACATTTTCATGTACTCACGATGCTTACTTACTGTGCGGTTACAAAAAACAAACACTAACAAACACTAGTTACTGGTCTGCTTGGGTGGCAGTGGAAGTTGAATTTATTTTCAATTTAGTYGCATGCCACCAGCATTTAAGCTGGCATCTCATTCCTGTAACTTTATTGTTTTATGATGTTTCTTATAGTTCAAAACCCCACTGGCTCTGCGACTAAAAAGATGAGTATACCATGTTTCTTCAAAATCCAACCCCCCAGACCCCCCCCCCTTGTTCTGCTGAGCAAACCAATTACAGTCAAAACTGTTTTAGTTTTTTTTAATGTTTCGACTTCCATGATTTTTTGCTCAAGTACATGCACCTCAACAAGGTACAAAGCACGCAAACTGAATTTTGTAGCCAGAAATTGTAACCAAACTCTTCCCTATAGTAGAGAGGCCCTTCTTTTCTCTGTGATACTACTACTAGTAGCCTGGTTACATTTTTTTCAGTCTGGTTACAAAAAGCGCACCAGTGCGCTTGTAATCACATGTAACCACATGCACAACCTCAACAGGTACTAGTAAAAACTGTCTTGGTTGCTCACAATTTTGAGTACTGAATAGTACTATTTTTAGTACAAAGTACAAGTACTCACTAAAAATYGTGACCATTTTTTCATTGAAAACTGATCTTTTTTGCTATTCTAGTACAAACTAACATAGAAAATACCATAGAAATATCAAAAACACAACTATTTGCAGTGGGGAACAAGCAAAACACAAAAAAAGCAACACCAACAGCAGTTGACCATGAGGACCAGAAGCAACAAATCAACCACGCCTCTGGCTAAGAAACCTCCTCCAGCTAAGAAGAATAGTAATGATGACGACAGTGTYGACTGCAGCGCATGGTCAGAATCTAGGGATTGCTTGAGAGAAATRTCTCAGTACAGCTAGCAAAAAGGAACTAGCTGTTCTCCTCTCAGCAAACAAGAGATCCAATCTGGAAGGGCATTGGTACTGAGGTAAGTTGGACAGAAGAAAATGYTCCCCAGCAGCAAGCAACAGCAAGAGTGAAGCCATCAGGTCAAACAGGGGGARGAGAAATCCAGTTAGCACCAGATGAAGATGCTGCAACAAAAAGTAAACCAAGAAGAGTATCTCTTGATCAAGCAGACAAAACAACAGCAATGGAAGCTGCTGTAAATTGAAGACCACCAATTCAAAATCTGTACAGCACAGCACAGCAAACAAGAAGAAGAAAAGAGCTGTATCCTCCAAGACTAACAACAAGAAGAAGGCACCAGCAAAAAAAAAGCAGCAACAAAGAAGAAGACAATTTCACCTGCACCTACACCAGCACCAACACCAGCAGCAGCTGCCACTGCCACTGAAGAAAGTACTGACTCTAGTAAACAAGCAAAGTTTGAATACACAAAGAAGAAGCTAATTAACCACCMAAATGCCTTCAACACATTGGGGAGTGATGAGTGCTATGCCACTGCTGAATCAACCAGCAAGGGGTATGCAGCAAACAAGAAGAGCTGCCTTGCAAGATTTGTGAAGACAATACTCGATGCTACAAATCCAGCCACAAACAAACCTCCTGGAGACAAAGTCATGCATGAGATTTTCACCAAGAAGGTTCCTATGAATGATGGATTAATTGAACATTATTTAATCTACCAGAGTGTGGGTGGTAAGCTAGATGCCCTCAAGAAGACACTAATGAATCAAGTCCTCATGATTTGGACTCTTGATATCAAGAACACAAAAACTGGAGAGCTCCTTGATACCAACTCCCATTCAATGTATGTTAGGGTGCTGTTCTCTGCATTCCACAAGAAGGGAATCCAGTTTAATGAAACAGACTTCAAAGGCAAGGGATCATTCCTTAGTGCTGTAAAGCTTGATTTCAACAAGAAGTGAGCTKCCAACCCAACACTTGGAACCAAGAGGACCAAGGCTGATTTTGATGAGTTTGGGGACTCAAAGTTTGCAAGCTTGCGTGAAACCGGTGTGTACAAGCCTTATGAGAACATGCAAGACCTCCTCAAGATAATGACCATGGAGCTGGGTTGACAGTTGGACTCCATGGAAGGGATAAGATTGTCTTCCTTGAATGGAAGTTCATAAAGCTTGGTCAATTCCCCCTTGGCAACATGGAGGGTGATATACATATATATATATATATATATATATATATATACCAAAATTGCTCCAGGGCTTTGACAAGGGAAACCAGCTCAGCTTGAGCAATCCAAGCGTGAGCAAGATGTTACCAATGGTTGTTGAGGACAGGAATAATCCATACTGTATTGTCAAGCTAATCAACTTCTATCGCAATGAATGCCATCCAGATCTGCAAAGGTTCTTATGCTATGTGAAAGACAACAGATCCAAGGATGATCTGTATTACTTCAAGGCAGGGATGCCAGTGGGACAGCATGCAGTAAGGAAGTGGGTGAAGGAAATCACCACAACAGCTGGATACAAGGATGCCAACAAGTTCACTTCCCATGATAATAGGCATCAATGCTGTACTGTGTTACTACTAGCATCTGATGTGAATGTTCCTGAAAAGCTCAAGATAAATCATCTTAGACWTAAGAGTGCCAAGTTGTCTCAAGTATATGACCATGCAACCTCAACGACTCATCAAAGAGTGCAGAGCTCTTTTCATTCTGGATTCAATTACACCAAGAAGGACCAGAAGAAGCCACCCAAGCCTTTGGTGCCTGCTATCGTCGCAACAGCATTGGACCAAATTGTTCAGCAGCAGTTGGACGACAAGCTCTCTTCCTCCCCAGGAACTGAGTTAAAAGTGGAACTTCTTGCAGAACTGGAGAAAGTGCCAGCAAAAAGAAAAGCTTAAGCTGTTGTTGAGTCGTCGCTTGATGATAGCAACAAGAAACATCAACTCAACTTTGCAAAGGAGCTTGACGAAGCAAAGAAGAGGATTCCGGATCTTAATGACCAGATTGCTGCACTCACCACCAGTGAGTTACAGGAAAAGAAACTTGCTATCGGCATTCATGAGGGGAAGGATGGTTCAAGCAAAAAGAGAAGCTTGAATGGGAGAAAGAAAAGACTGCTTCCCTTGAAAAGAAACTTGAGTCTGCAGCAAACTGGCTGAAGCTTCAACAACAGCTAGTAATTGCGACATTGCAGCAGTCGACATTGCACCAGCACCAGCATGAATCAGCAAGCTCCTCCACAGTTATAACATACTGTACTTCTAATCTGTTGAGGTCCGAAAAGTTTCAAACTGCGCAGTCTAAAGCTTGAACGTACCACCAGTAAGTACACAGATGAGCATGTACCAGAAGTATCCAACGCTACCGGTATTGACCKTAATCCTCCATGTTTCTTTCGAGAATTTGTTTTCTTTTTTGCAAGATCTTACAGTAGGTAAAACCCTTTGGTTGCGGATCCCAATGTTACTAGTACAGTACGTAGTCGACTTCGTACTCGATGCACAATACACATCAAATCTAAAAAATCTAACCAACTTCCAAAATCTTTTAGGAAGAAATTTGAAAGCAATGATTTTGTACGCGATTAATTGATTCGTTTCGATCCATAMGTAGCTGTTTTGCTGTACACAYGTTACTGTAAAAAGACTGACAGTTGAGACGGCCCCGGAGTTCTTTCTTGAAGCATTTTACTTGCAGTACTCGTACCGATGTGTAGTATCGTACGGTAGTTTCAGGAAATTGCTGCAATGTTTACTGCATCAATCCATCGACGAAGTTTACTCTTTAGTTCGTTTGTACCGTACAGGCACAGCTAGTCTTGAGGTTGCGTAATAGATCAACTCATCAGGAGAGACCAAGAAGATATTGTTCCAATAGCATCACTACGAAGACATATTGTTTCATTTGGTTGTCAATCCTCCWGGGCGATCCATGTCCAAAGATCCGAGAGAAAAATCAATATTTCTACATCCACTACTGTATCCGTTCAAAAGCGCTCCGTATCATGATCCTATCTGTCGCTACCCGTCGTTTCATTGGGAAATGTTCTGGTCGTAGTGCGTTTGCTACCCGTGGCTTGAGTAGAGCTTGCTCCACTTTTGCTTCTTCGTTGAATCCTTCCAAAACAACAACATCATCATCAACAACAACGAAATTGAGAAGACCGGGGACGTGCTTCAACCCCGCCATACCTCCCCACCCACAACTGCAACAAAGTCAGCGAAGGTCCCTCCACTTGACACCTCGTGAAATYGACCATCTCAGGCTGCACGAGTGCGGGCGGCTTGCCCAGTACCGTCTGGCACGTGGATTGAAGCTGAACATTCCCGAGAGCGTCGCCCTCATTACGAGCGTCATGATGGARCGCATACGGGACGGGGAAACCAGCGTCGCTGATCTAATGTCTCTTGGCCAGTCGYTGTTGGGTCGTCGACAAGTTCAGGCCGGTGTTCCAGATATTGTCAAGGACGTTCAAATCGAGGCAACCTTTCCGGACGGAACCAAGCTCTTGACGGTTCACGCGCCCATCAGCAAGCTGGACGGAGACTTAAATTTGGCCCTGGAGGGCTCCTTCCTGCCGGTTCCTGAGCTTAGCGTCTTTGGCGACCTAGAGGAAGAAAAGCCGGGAGCTGTGACTCTCGYAGAAACAGAAGAAGGTATCACTCTAAACAGCGATCGACTTGACTCGCTCGTGGAACTCAGTGTAACGAACACAGGAGACAGACCCATCCAGGTGGGTTCTCATTATGCCTTCCTTGAAACCAATAAGGCCCTCTCTTTCGACCGTCAGGTCAGTATTGGTAAGCGCCTCAATATTCCTAGCGGAGCTTCCGTAAGATTTGAGCCCGGTGAGACCAAGACTGTGACTCTAGTCGACATTGGCGGCTCTTGCAATGTCGTTTCCGGTAATAGATTGCACAACGGCGAGAGAAGCAACGAGAATGCCATAATGGATCGGGTRTTGTCTCAAGGATTCCTTCACGAAGCTGCTGCCGAAGTTCCCAAAGGACAGCCGTTAGTGGTAGAACGAAGCTCTTACGCCGATATGTACGGTCCGACCACGGGTGACAAAATTAAGCTAGGAGATACCTCGCTAGAGATCCAGGTTGAACGCGACCTCACAASTTATGGCGAGGAGTGCAAGTTTGGCGGGGGCAAAACATTGCGAGAGGGAATGGGCCAGGTGTGTATTATCTGAGTGTTAAATTTTGATGTTTTGGTKGGGATTGTATTTATCGTACAGGGAARKTTTTATTTCTAGATTGTCTGACCTCAGATGATTTTTTCTGTCAATCTTTTCGAATTTGTCAATGATTTTAAACTAATATATGTGGCATACTGCAAACACTTAGTCCACAAGCATTCAATCCGATGTGGCCCTGGATGTAGTGATTACCAATGCGCTTATTGTCGACAGTGTTACCGGCATTATTAAGGCCGACATTGGTATTAAAGGAAATAAGATTGTTGGCATTGGGAAGGCTGGAAATCCAGATATGATGAGCGGGGTTGTTGATGAGAATATGATTGTTGGTGCGACCACCGACGTGATTGCTGGCGAAAAACTGATTTTGACAGCCGGTGGTATTGACACGCACGTTCATTACATCTGCCCCCAGCAATTTGAGGACGCTGTAGCATCTGGATTGACCACTATGTTTGGCGGTGGCACCGGTCCTTCGGCAGGAACATCTGCCACTACTTGTACACCGGCCCCTTCCCAGTTTGAAATGATGCTGAAGGCCACTGATGGCATCCCCATGAATTTCGGTTTCAGCGGAAAAGGTAATACATCCGATTCAAGTGTTTTGAAAGAGTGTCTCWTGGCTGGAGCTGCCGGCTTCAAGCTACACGAGGATTGGGGTACGACTCCATCGGCCATCGATTCATGCCTGGGCTTCGCAGACGAGCATGATATTGCTGTTACAATCCATACTGACACGCTTAACGAGAGCGGCTTTGTCGACGATAGTATWGCTGCAATGAAAGGGCGAACGATCCATACTTATCACACGGAGGGGTAAGTCAGACTTGTTTRTCTTTCTACATCGTTTCGGAATRCARTCTGAAAGAATTGTTTGAATTTGTTTCTTCCTTCTAACGGTCACGATTCATTGTGATTTTTCGGGTCTGGTACGTTTTGTAAAATGACAATGAATCTAATCCAACGRAAAAGTGCGGGGGGAGGTCATGCACCCGATATCATCAAGATCGTAGAGGAACCCTACGTCCTCCCTTCCTCTACGAACCCCACAAGACCTTTCACGGTCAACACAATGGATGAGCATCTTGATATGCTGATGGTCTGCCACCACCTAGACTCGAGTATCCCAGAGGATGTAGCCTTTGCCGAAAGCCGGATTCGTGCAGAAACGATTGCTGCCGAGGATATTCTTCACGATATTGGTGCGATTTCAATCATTTCCAGTGACAGTCAGGCCATGGGCCGCGTCGGTGAGGTAATCACCAGAACATGGCAGACGGCATGCAAAATGAAGACGCAACGGGGTGCACTGGACGAAGATTCTAGCAAGGGTAATGACAATACACGCGTAAAACGATACCTGGCGAAGTACACCATCAATCCGGCTATCACCCATGGCATGTCCCAGCACGTTGGAAGCGTCGAGGTTGGGAAGCTTGCGGACCTAGTCCTATGGAAACCGAGCATGTTCGGTGCAAAACCCGAAATGATCGTAAAGGGAGGTGCCATTGCCTGGTCCCAAATGGGCGACCCGAACGCTAGTATCCCGACCCCACAGCCTGTCCAGATGCGTCCCATGTTYGGTGCGATGGCTACCGGTAGSGGCCAAGAAGACAACCGATCTATCGCCTTCGTGTCAAAAGCAGCTGCCGAGATCGGGAACGTTCGGGACAAGTACGGCTTGACGAAATCTGTGGAGGGTGTAACGAATTGTCGCAACGTAACAAAACATGACATGGTGTTGAATGATGCTTTGCCTCGTATGGAGGTTGATCCCGAAACGTTCGAGGTAAAGGCTGACGGAGAGATTCTCTATTGTAAACCACTCGAGAAAGTACCCCTAGCGCAGAAATACTTCATTTTTTAAATGTACGGTATTCCGCATCAATTTGCAACATAAGAAACTAAGTGAGTTAATATTATCATAGCTKAAGATACAGAAAACGACTTCACCGAAGGAAGGAAAAAGAGTGAAAGAAGAGAACATGTATTTCGGCAGTTAGTACCAGTTATTTCGAAGTAAAATGCGTTAACAGTAAAATCCTACCGGGCMTACAGACCTCAATGTCATTCTACTCCAACAGAAAAAATTATTACTAGTAAAATCACRGTTAATTTTGAAGCCAAATATTCTAGTACTGGTCCTACACAGATCTAYTAGTTTTYGGTCACTTTTTCCACTACAAACAGCTCAATGAGGTAAAATAAGCTAAACACAACAGCTCCGGAAAGGCCTGTAATGAGATCCCCTTTGGGGAAAAGCTTCTTAATACTAGTATTGGGAACAGCCCCATGTGTCATTGTTACACGATTATAGGCCTTGGGGGAGTCGGTTCTCCATTAACAGCTGGTATGGCCAAAATTGGCCGGTTTACAAGACCGCCTCCTAGTTAGAAAATACTCCAGAAGTCTATCAAGAAACAACTTTAGACCACCAGACTAAGCGCCCGGACCAAGATGATACAATTACTTAGCAATCTATGCCATTGGGATGCTTAAGGATGCTCTGGCGGCTTAGAACTGCTGGTATGTCGAAGTTACAGTAGTAGTGGTCCAAAATTCCTGCGTTACTTTCGGCTGTAATTTTATATAAAAAAACTGGTACTGCTTACTAGGTGCTCTGGGTCCAAGGAACACTAAAAAAGGATTCTGCAAACTATGCAGCAAAAATGGACAAGAATAGACAGACAATTCGGCATATACTACTAATATGATTACCTGTTCCATACTATGAACCTGCTCCTAATAGTATGACCCAGCAATATAGTAGTAGTAGTAGTAGTAGTAGTACTAGTAGTAGTAGTTTAGTAGTAGTAGTAGTAGTAGTAGTAGTAGTAGTAGTAGTAGTAGTAGTAGTAGTAGTAGTAGTAGTAGTAGTAGTAGTAGTATGAGTACGAGTAGTACGAGTACGAGTACGAGTACTTGTTGTAGTAGTAGTACTAGTACTGGCTGTTAGTCATACTAGTACTACTACTAGGGATATCATAACAAGTGATGATAGCAGCACTAAGAAAGTGGTTCCCATTGTTAATTTAGTAATGATGCCATCCTTAGCCCAGTAGAACAACACAGTACAAAATGTACTGAGGTAGTTTGCAACTATTCTGGTGGTGGAGAACCAATCCTGTTTCTTTCTCAGAAGGCAAATCATGCTGAAAATTTTGGGGTGCAAGCAACACTAAGTAGAGCTCTGTAGATKTTGTACTGAAAAAAATTATGATGGCATCATTAAATTAACAATGGGAACCACTTTCTTAGTGCTGCAATCACTTGTTATGATRTCCATCGTACTAGGATTTGTTAGTACTAACTTTCATCCTTCTTCTTGGTCAAGGACACAAGTCCCAGCACCAGAGACGACCAATCAAATGTCTTTAGTAGTACTAGTAGTAGTAGTACTTTGTCACAAAAAGTGATCGCAACCTACTATCACATGCCATATCAGCGCTTATTTTTTTGACACCCCCCCTACTATTTTCACAGGTTTGACACATAGTATGATTTATGTCAAAACAATGGTCACATTTCTTTCAACAGCATTGAAGACAGAACGGGAACAGGAATGAGGAGGCAGATGTAACCACAGGTCAAAATTGGTTGTGACAATGTTACTAGTAGTAGTAGTTCAGATTGTTAAGCATTCCAACCTTTACCTAATTTCAACTGTTGCATTGCCAGCAACTCCCAACTCCATCACCCAAGTACTTTCCACCAACACTCAGTACTTGTTGCACCAACCTCTATGTCTGTTTTTGTACAAACTGGTAGAAATGTACTAGTACTAGTACTAGTAACTAGTAGACAAGCAAGAATGATGATGATTAAACTACTAGTACTACTACTACTCCTAGTACTACTCCTAGTACTACTTCAAACTGCATGCAGCACACCTTGTCTCCTGGTGGCTACAAGGAGGAGGCAAAAGAAATGATTTGGTATTCTAGCCCACCCCCTAGTACTAGTAGTAGTAGCACTACTACTATTAGTAGCAGTACTAGTAACAAAGCAGTTGAAAATGATAATATTTAACRCTTTTTAGTCATTCCTCTATAGAGGTCAAAGTGCAAGCAGCACTACTAGTACCCCTGTTTTTAGGTATTGTTACAGGCCCTTGTTGTTGAGCAAGAGAAAGATAATGGGTCATTCCTGTTATTACAGGAGAATTGCTAAATTTGATACTACTACACTGACTGACAGAAAATTTATAATGTGGTTAGTATAGATTCAACATTTTTTGAATGAGTCAAAAACCCCCATTCAAAATGTGTTAAATTTATTACAGTACCCACTCAACAGAAAGGCTCACCAAAATTAAGACTCAGATATCCTAAGGAAACAACAATAGAAGCACCTTTCTATTGAGCGCCTCTTTTAACAATGGAGCCCAGCATGCTGCCGCCTCTATTAACTATTGCATCATATAAATGTCCCAATCAGTGCTCTTAATCACTACATTCTTTTCTCTCTCTTTGTTGGACCAAAGACAAGAACAGTAGGATGTCACCAACAGCAAARATGGAGCTTGTCCTTCCCCYTGCAAGGCCAGTACTGCAAACTACTCATTTGTGAGCTGAGGAGTCTTATGGGATTGATACTGTGGAAGCTCCCTATTGATAGAGATACTTGGGTTGAAATTGTGGGATTACATGCAGCAAGTTGGCCCTCTTCCTCCATCAGGACCAAGTATGCACTGGTGAAGAGAAAGAAGAGCTCAGCTAGAAATCCAAATATGTCAGAGTATGCAAAGATGGTGAGGAAGGCCCATATCTTGATTGGTAAGAAGGTAATTTATGGTACTGGAGAGGAGGACTTTGATCTKGAGGAAGGCTTTGTTAATAGCTAAGAGTGAGGCTGAGGAGGGTTCTGAGCTGACTGGTGCTGCTGTGGTAGGAGGAGAATTGATGACTACTGATGCTTGATGATGAGCATGGACTGCTGTTGCTACTAGAGGAGCATCAACTGCTCTTGCTGGATGAGCATTGACTATTGTTGCTGCTGCTGGAGTAGCATTGACTGCTGTTGCTGGAGGAGTACCAACAGTGGTGGACGAGACAACTGCATTGACATTGTTGTTGGAACCATCTGCTGAAGCCACTCCTAAGAAGATATCCTCATATCATGGTGGTCCAAATAAGGCCAGGTGTGAAAAGAGGCGATCAGAATGGCAATGATGATGTTCAATCAGTGGTAGAAGGGCAGCAACAACTACAATGACAAACCTTCTTCTTACCATGGTCTGCCACATGCTACTAACAACAAATGACCTTGCACTGGGGAGGAATCCCATGGTGAGGAACATTGAACTTGAATTGATCAAACTGAAGCTGTATAGCTCTTTTAGCTCTTTAGCATGGTAGATAATTCAAATAATGAAAGCAAAGTTGAGCAGTGCAATACTATCCTGTGCACTTGAATGTTTTGTGCCAGTATGCAACAGTACTGGTTCCTACATATCCAGTTTTCATATAGATTTTTGTGTATACCAACGATGCDGGATTAGAAACTGTAATCTCCCTATTTAGCAGGCATATAATCCCACAAAACAGGATTTGCTTGGACATGCACATTGTTTGCTTTGGCATGTACAGCATGCACTGSTTTGGCATGCAGATGTAGTGCATTATAGATTTATCTTCATAGCAGCATAGTCATGATTGCACCATCAATTTATCTTCATTGCAGTATAGTATTTTGTTTTATGATATAGTAGCATTGCTCTGTGTCAAGGGTATCCACAAAAACCAATAAGAATAGTAGAATTGAACACAGTGATATGTGTRTTCATCCAGTACAGTTTGCTTGATATGTGTGTTCCTCCAATACAGTTTGCTCCTTTCTCAAGAAATAATACTCCCCATATCAAAACAGCAGTGCAGAATCAAGAACCAAGCGCTAAACACACCTTCTTAGTGAAACCAACCATTGCTTTCTYCCACCACCATGGGGGATCCTGTCATGAGTGAATCAATGGCAACCTGCTGTATCAATCATATTGATTGCTGTTTGCCATATTGTATTGATTGCAATTYTGCAATTYGTTGCTGTGTTGTATCAATTGGTTGTTGATTTGTAATTCTAACTTAATGCCWTTCTTTTTGACTGACCACAGAGCAACAATCAACCATGAGATTCAMCCTCTAAAAAGCTCACTTGCATCAGGTGATAGCCCTTGTCCTACATGGAAGAAGCCTTTTACAAGATCATCTTTTTGATATGGCACATTGTTGCTGGTTGCTGCCACCAGCGTCYTCATGAAGACAGAGATAATCTGGTTGTGCGTGTCMTATCATGGTACRGCACAWMGTATAACATAGGTTCTATTGGGTCCTGTTTCTTACATCAAAATTTGGCCACCAGYYACTGTAMCTTTGGTGAACCAGTTCTARGCTGGCATAGCATCCTATGGGTTCCCAATGACATAGACATTGGAGTATTTGTATCAATACWAATGATTGGGCGCTTAGTCCAGCAGTGGTCTASAGTTAATTTTTGGTCACTTGCTGACCTATTTTGTAACACACAGCCAGTCTCAGAAATAGCAAAGTTTGGCTGTACTGGCTGTTAGATGAGCATGTCAGCCAATGTGGACCTATTGGTTAGGACACCAGCAGCACACGCACATCTTGCCAACACTAGTAGTATGATGACTGAGCATCATATCACCAAAGGGGAGGACATTAGAGCTGGTTCAAGAGCAGTTCTGATGGCTCTCAGTCACTTGGTTTTCATGTTTGGAAAAAGAATATGTAGAACTGTGTAGAGTGCAGTAGGACAAAAAATATTCGCAACAGGCAACAACAAACAGAGCAACCCTTTGTCAATGGAGCCCTTTGTCGATGGAGCCTTTTGTCGCAAACAATCAATTCACAGCCAAATCGTCCCCAGCAATCACAATGAAAACATGTAAATCTTCTAATTAGATAATGCTTGTTATAGTAGACCAATTGGAATTGCCAAGGGAAGCTTCCTTCCTGGTGTTCTTGCTGTGTTTGCTGAATTCGAAAATTTCTTACTTTTCGCCCTATTTGGTACTTCTAGATCAGTAGTTAAATTAAGAGTTCTTCCACCATTAGAATGATATTTGGCAGCCTTACTAAGAAGAGTGAGAACTTTTCAACATTGTCCTTGGCTTGTCTTAGAATACTTTGGTTGTTGAGATATTGTAATTCCCATGGTCATGTTGAGGTGGATTTGTTTGGTGAGAGCGGGTTGTGTCTATTTTTTTGTGTAGAACCTGGTAGGGTCCCTACACCTTACAGGCAGAACCGTTGTTATGGTACTCGTACTGAACTGATAGAAGACCGGGAATGACCCWATAAAGTTATCATAGCAGCTCGTCGAAAATTTCCGTCCTTCTAATGACCCTCGGTGCTTGGACGTATTTTTAGTATCTGAGTGTCCAAATGTATGACCTTACGAGTCATACACGTGAGTAATGACTGCTCGACTGCACCCAAGACAAACATTTAACCCAGATATTTGAATTAGTGGCGAAGAAAATCTATTGAACTGGGATTGCCAACACAATTTGGTTCCCACTTCACGCATCATCATAATTATCTCACATCCCGATTCCAACATTTATTATCTTGTTTCTTCCAATTGAAATCCAGGATGGTATTTCGTACTTCGCACTATCCCTTAGAAACAGAACCGAAGTTCATACGGTCAACCTCATATCTGAAATTGCATTTTCGATTTGGAGAGTTTTTCATGATTTTATGTTTGTCGTGACATTTTTGGCCCAAAGCGATAAGAACAATATTTTACTTGACGTATCGGTGGGAGCTATTTTTTTACGGTGACGCTCTGTGTCTATAATTGAGACTCACCTGTCAAAATCAAGTGATTTCCGTGAAAGAGTTGAATGGTTCACCTATATGTCCTCAGATATCAGAACCATCGTAAAYAGGAGAAGATTTCAATAACCATAAATACAAAGACACTATGTACSATGGCATTACGAGGATATATACAAGAGTTGATCCGTGATCGAAATGCTTACGACATAAAAATTGTTCATGACGTTTCAGTGTCGTCATTGCCCTTTTGTGGCGATGATGATCATAGCATGGACGCTTCCGAGCTAGACGGGTCTATGTCTTCATTATCATTGCATGATCTCAAAGAATGCAATCACAATGATAGCAACAGAAGTCTAGATTTTTTCGCTCAAGCGATCGATGGAGATTTTGCCAACGGCATAGGAGAAAGAGAGTGCTCATCTAATAGTGGTGCTCGTGGAGATGACTTGGGCTTGATGTTGAAAAGCTTTCGAGAGCGACACCGGCGCCTAAAACAAACCCTATCCCCAGTGAAAGTTTATCAGTTGTCTCCAACGATTAGTGGGTCTCAAACGACACCGACAAAAAACGAAATGAAGGTTGATAATCAGCGTTCCCGACTTGCCATTCTCGCCARATCCTCTGAAATATGCGGGCCGCCAAGTTTGACCGATCACTAGAAAAGATGCTGAGAGCTGGAAGTCATGGAGCACGTCATCCCTCTTTTTATTAACATCATTACTAGATATGAATTATAGAAAAATGTACTTGATCGCCTCTTATTCGAAGCTGGATGATGTGAGAAAAATAACACCAAATGAATGAACAGCGAAATATTTTSCGGATCAAGATCTGCAGTATTCTAAGCAAATAAAATATTTGCGATGAAGTGTTTTACTACAGCATGATACTGTAATCCTGAGTAAAAGAAAATGYTTTCTTGATTTTTACGAGATTAAGAAATATTAAACAATTTATGATTTCCCTYCAGTGGTCCATTTTCTCATGACTTTTCGGGTTGAAATTTTGAAAAATTCTCCAGACTCAAGACCAGGTTMTAGCGATTCTCAATGCCTTCTTGTCGAAATAAGACAAGGGTGGCGTAACAGATTTTGTTTGTTGATTGTCCGAAGACGGTTGAAGAGATTCACGGAGACAACTCGTTCTCGCTAGCGACACACCCAGCCGCTTGAGTTTTCCCTTCCACTCGTCGTCTTTCTCTAGAAGAGATTCTAAATTAACAACCGCTTGCAAGATAGATGCCATGATCTGCGGATTTTCCATTGCTGCGTTTGAATCTAGTAGATGTAAACCCATGTACGACGTTGTCAACTTGGATGAAGCAATCACGGATTGTCCTGAACACGATTTCTCAGTGGGATTCGAAGCCGCAGTAGACCGCAGCGTATTGTAGCACTTGATCACTATTTTGTACAATTCAACACTCGTATAGTGGTCGGATTCGCGTAGGCTCCAAGCGCACACCAACAAAGCCGTGAGCAACGTCCTGAATGTGTGTATACTTAATTTGTTGGCTTTTCGTTTCTTTTTTTTCCAAGCAGTGCTCGTCGAAGACGATGAGCTCTTGCTTGTTGCAGGTGCACCAACTTCTACTTCATCGTTCTCGGAATTTTCATCCATATCGGCAACAGCCGAATTCCAAGTCTTTAGTACCAAGTCAGATCGTTTTGCTTTTCCAGCTGCGCGCAAGACGGCTCTCCAGGTTCGATCGTTTGGTTGCAGGTCAACAGCAGAGTCTTGGATTTCTTTCAGAATCTCCTGTGCGCGGTCGATGTCACCAGCGTTGGCACAAGATCGCAACAAAGTGTGGTATGAACCCAGATCKGGAACAACTCCACTCGCCTTCATTTCTCGGAATACCATGGAAACCTGATATAGCTCGTTGCTTGCTGCTACTACAGAATCCGGTGGAAATTTTGGTATCGATGATGACTGTTGCGATGTCTTCGTAGTAGCAATCAAGGTTGACATAAGTTCACTGTAAATATCTACAGCCTTTGTGTCATCCTCTTCGCCGTTCTGTTTGTCATCAAAAGCATCTCTGACTTTTTCTTCGATTGCATTTTCGTTCTGAACTGAGTCCAAAAGCGAAGGCCAAGGTCGGTTCGTGTTATCAGAATCTTCGTCTTCACTCGTACCAGTGTTTGCGGTAGATCTAGGGTTGTAGGTTGTGTCCTGCTGCTCWTCACGGGGAAAATAATTTTGGTTTCGTCGCATCCCCTTTTGTTGCTCCAAGCCCGCCAACCGGCTGGCATACGTCATGAGACTTGTATATATGTATTCACTGGGTTGGAGATTGTGGGATTTCATGTACCGYAGAACATCAAGAGATTCGGCTGTCTTGCCTTGTTTCAACAGCGAGTCCAGGAGGCAACTGCAGGTGATAACATTCGGCTGAACCTTGAAGCGCGGCATGGACACAAAAAAGATTTTCAGAGCCGTGTCRATGCGGCCTGTTTTTCCGCAAGCATTGATGGCCGCTGTCCAGGCACCTACAGTTTGCTGATCCATCGAAACTTCGGGAGCAGCAGCTCCAGGACCGGGTCTATTCTTGTTATTGCTATTGGTGTTGTTTTTCTCCGCTAGCCGCCTCATGCGTTTTCGCATCTGTTCATCCCGCAGCATCAATCGCAAGGCTTTGAGAGCTAAATCAGAGCGACGGCATCGCCCACAGACATCGATCAATGCCGAATACGTCAGTGGACTGGGGGCAATTCTGTGCTTTGTCTTCATTTCGTTAAGCAGAGAAAAGGCCAACGAGGGATCATGCGTCCCATAAAACTGGCTGTGGTTGTKGTTGGTACTGCTATTATTACTGTTGCTTGTTTCAGCGGCGGAAGAGGATAGCAAGGGTCTAGATTTCCGCGCAACGGTTCCAATCAGGCTTGTATAGGTTCGAACATCAGGTYGAAGCCGAATCGAGAGGGTCTGTCCAGTTCGATAGGTAATGTTCGTCCTACCACTGCCGCGTCCCATCTTCTTGCTCTCGTGTTCCAGAACCCCTTTCCAGTAAAGCGCCTTTTCAAGCTCACCGCTCTTCTGGCATGCGTCTAGCAACGTGTTGTAGGTCACAAGGTTCGGTTTGAGAAAGGGTACATCCATTCCGCCGCCAAAGACGACTTGTTGGAGAGACGACGTCGTCGGCGAGGACTTGGTCTTTGGATTATCATTGTCGATTCCGTTGCCAACTCCATTCCCCGTGATTTCATTCTCCTGCTGTAAGACCGGCCTGGTTTGCATCTGCAACATCAGGTCTTCTGCGGCCTCGAGGTCCCCCATCTTGGCATATGTGTTCATCAAAATGTTGGTCGCTTTCACGTCCGGAACGATCAGATTCTGGAGGTCCGTCGCCTTGATGGAAGCAACGGATCCGGTCCCGGTTGCCGCGGCAGTTGTACTGTATGAGGCGTACGAAAAAAAGTCTACCTGTTTCCTCATGATCTTCCATAGCCGTAAGGCCACCTGGGGTTTTCCYACAGAGATTGCCCGTGACATCAGGGTAGAGTAAGTCACGAGGGTCGGGGTCGGAACAAGTGTGGTTGCTTCTTTCGGATTGGCTGCTGCATCGGTAGTCGCAGAAAGGGCAATCTGGGTTGCCTTTCGCATCTTGAAATAGAGCCGTAGGGCCCGCAGCAGATCGCCCCTGTCCCCAAAGGCTGCCAGAGCAAAGTTGCACTCGCGAATGTCGGGAAAGGGCACTGATGGATTGCGTTGTACAGGTGTCTGTGGCGCTGATGCAGTATCATCAGACTTGTTGTCGGGTGGTACCGACGAAAAGACTCCGCTGTTGCGTCTTCGAATGATTACCGTGTTCTTCCCCGTGGGAGACAGCCGTTGGTCGCTAGTACTATTTTTTTCGGTGTCTTGCTGGTTTGATTCGTCGGTTTTGTGTTTGGTGATTGTGTTTGTCTCTGTGTTCATGGTGTTKATGTTGTTGCGTTGCTGAAGATTCTCCAGCGCGATTTGCGTCCTTGTTTCGATTCGCACGGCTCGTTGCCATCGAGAGTCTGCAACCGGGTYAGTGGGCGCTGCTGCAGCGTTTCCGTTTCTGTATWTGTTTCGGTTGCTGTTATTGTTTCGGCGGTTCGGGTTCTGCTGGTTGTGCCGTGGTTTTCTCTTCGCACCAGACGTAGACGACGATTGCGACGGCGACGATGGAGTAGCAAGCAACAACGACGAGGACGGGATTGCCGGCGGCGAAATAGAAAAACAAGCGTGTCCTCGGCTTCTCTTCCGTTTCGAAGAGTCCGAATGAGTGTAGATGTTGAGATGGGCTCTGTTCGCAACACCTCCAGAGGTATTCAGCGAAAGGGAGTGGACGGGTTGTACGTTCGACGCTGTCCACATCGTTGCGATCGTCGACATCAAAAATAGTGYTGCCAATTGCTTCGCTCTTTTTCTCCCRAGAGAAGAGATACTCATCCCAGTGGCATCTTTAGTGTTGGTCGTCGTTCTACCCAAAAATAGGGACGGTTCCACAAAGATTCTTCGCTCTCGCCTTGGTCGTTTCATYTTTTGATCTGCATTACTCATGCAACGGAATTGTTTTTATTGCGASAGTGTCAAATCAACGGAAGAACGAAGGAAACAATCAATTCTTTCGGTGCAGTAATGAARAAAAGAAAGGAACGTACTTACCCATCAATCAAACTACATAGGGGTACGGGTATTTACGGGAATCATCGAAGAATGAATGACCGTCTTGCGTCTAAATCCGATCACCGAATGCACGAAATAAGAAATACTGAAATACAAAATACTACTACTACTAACTATGAGTACCAGAAAGCATTCGTACTTGCAGACCTACTGGTTATAGGACTGGTCAGGCAGCATCGCACTTTCGGTCTGCCGTTCGGTACGTTAGCCTCAAACGGGTAGATGTAGTGATTGTGATGTGTGCACGCTACCGTCAGCACCAGATCCGAMGGACAGGCGAGCAAGACGGCGTGACTGAAAATTGWGCGACTAGTCACAGTTCGATAGCTTTTTCGCGAKAACAATAATATTACAGTTGTTACAAGTGTACATCAATATTCAAATATTCTTTCTTTCACAAAGGGATTTCCACCCKATGTRTTGCTCATCTCAACGACCCTTGCTGGCGGCGAATGATCGAAGGGAATGTGCCAACCTGTATTTCCTAGCTGTTCAGACGTGTCAGGGATCAGGTTTTTCGTACCTTCCGATGATCGACATTGAACATCCTTAGGAGAAGAGTTTGAAGGTACTGCGATCAGACTCTCATCTATRCCTTTTGAGACAGTCAACCAGGGATTCGTCTCCTACACAAAAATCCTACGATTTCCTTTGGCATTCTATTCATGCTGAATGCCAGCTAGCTTTCCGCTTCMGTTTTCAAGCTTTCTTGACCTCACGGTATCGGAGTATCGGACGAAGTTGGACCGGGCCTGGATTAGAGCTTTGGGTTCTTCTTCGCCTTTGTCGGTTGGGCGGTCGGTGAGGCGGTGGGTGGTGGTGTGGGTTTCGTCTTGTGATTTTGCTTTGGTTTGGGGACCGTTGGGGCTTTCGTGGGGWAGGCGGACGGTTCGTTGGTCGGCGATGGCGTAGGGTTGAGGAASAGTTCCGTGGATCGGGCATCCAAACAGACCGCATCGTTGGTGAAGCATATTTCTGTTCCATCGGGTGGCCTGCACCCCCCATCGATGCACAACTGATCGACGTTGTTGAACACAATGTCTGTCCCATTGACTCCTTGGTCGGCCAAGATCTTGCCGAACCCGATGTTGAGCTCGGCAGTCATGTCTCCCCGAGAGGGTCCGTCGCAGYTGCATTCGCCTTCCTCTGGCTGTTTAGAGAAGTTTTCGACTCCCTCGGATCCGAACAAGGCGGGAGCTACGAATGGTTCGCACAGGGTAGAGCAGGCGTTGCATCTCAGTTGTGTGGCGATCAAGAACGCCGCACCGGATGCTTGCTCGGTCACGGCCGGAGGRGCGGCATCGGGTGGCCCGGCACCTAATTYGTCGGTGGCGTTGTGCAACCGGAGACTGCTTATCTCGGCGTCTATTGTTTGCGGATCGGGGAGTTCGATCCCGGGCACGGAACACCCGTCCGGTGTCAAGACGAAYGCGAACACGATTTGACGAAAGGCATTCGGTTGTTCGCAACTCCCGGCGACATTGTTGTAGGCCGATTCAAAGTTTGCTTCGATGGCACCGACGAAATCTAGGTCGGAAAAGTCAATTTCCCCGGTGTACGAAACGCGTGTCAGGGTYGTATAAGAGAAGGGAGCCTCACCGTGGTCGGCACAAGCGGGAATCGGTTCTTCGTCGGGAGGGACCGGTAGTTCTTTGTCGGCAGGACGGCGGTCGGGTTCATCCAAACGCCGAGTCCTCGGATTCTGATTGGAGATACCTCGGATGCGTCGCGATCTCGRCGGTGTCTGCTCACGATTGTCGATAACAGTGTTGCTACTTCGAGCGTAACAGCTGGTGGTACAGAGGGCTGCCACAAAGGCGAAGGCGGCGACCGMGGGTGAACACCTCATTTGTTCAATTCGTTCAATCAAAAAGTGWTGTCTTGGTTAATGGGAATAGGATACGAAAAAGTGAGCGATCGTATGAAATTCACAACTCTTGGTATCACTTAATGTACAACCACCTTCGGTACAAAGCAATGTGCGAAGCGGTCGTATTGCGCACRAGGTGTAAAAAAACGCGAGATCCCTCGACGGCAATGTGGGATATCAAAGGAATTTGAGAATYTTGCGGAGCTTGCTCTTCAGATGAATGTGTGCGTACAACCCAGTACTGTCCGGTACGAAAAACGAAAAAGTATGCCTTGTGGCCGGCCCATCGGCAGCCTGGTAGCCTACAATCCGAATACTATCTTCCACTACGTAGTCCCGTAAGCGAAGGCACGGTACATCAAGTCGTGACATGCGTGAGGTCGTTGCGTCGACTAATAAATGAGGCAGGATTTTCTGCCCTAGAAAGCGTGTTCTGGCGCGCCAAACCGTATTTCTGTCCTGAATCTTTGTCTACCGTACGGTACTCGTACGGTTGTCCTACTGTGCAGGTACGGTGCCTACTATTCTGACATCGGCAGTACGTACCGTACGGTAGCTTAGTCATGGCAGGGCGTCAAAGTTTACAGTACAGATTACAGTGCTTGGCAAGTACTGTACTTGACTAAGCACTGTATTGTTGAAGTACTACGAGCACTAGCTAGGTGAGGAGAAACGTAACTGTCCGCTGTCCGCTACTTCCGAGTGTGAGGGTAAATCACGAGTAGATAGTGATTGAGCAGTATTACCCCTGACTCCTGACTTGTACAGGTACTTGGTACGTACTTTACTTACCTACGTACAATACTTGTATGACAAGAATGAACAATGAAATGTGAAATGAATGTGAGGAACGACTGAATCGTGTGGAATGTCCGTTTTTATTGCACCGTACGTACGTACTCGTGCCGGCCGGTACTCTCTCTACTTTCACTTCAACAGCGAAGAACAAGTACGAGTACCCCTACCGGTCTACGGCACGTTACGTAGAACGTGCGATTTTGAGCTCCCCGCAMTGTACTGTACCGGCCGGTACGTACGCGCGGAGTATCGTTCATTACCGTATCGTAGGTAGGTATTTTAGTAGTACCATGCTRTCGATCGAATGGTAATCGTTCGCTCCGACAGACATGCTCGATTGCAACTTGGCCAAGATCATCTCGAGAACTCTCAATTCATGTGTCGCGACTCCAATAGCTAAAACAATCCAACCGGTTTCATTGTCATTTTGTAAACATTCATAGCATCATCGGATCACAAGCACTGAATAGTCAAAGTTCACCGACAACCATGAGCGACAACGAAACCAAGCTAACGCCAATCACAGTCATCACGGGATTCTTGGGCGCGGGAAAAACGACCCTCGTCAACTACATTCTCAAAGAGCAAAACGAATGGAAGATCTGCGTCCTCGAGAATGAATTTGGGGAGGTTTCCATCGACGATGGACTCGGTATGTACTGGATCTTCTCACAGGTTTGATGTGATGTGTGCTTCGGAGGGACTAGCATGGTGCAGCAGGTCGAATTGGATGGAATGGAATGGAATGAAACCAAGAATACGGACGTAGCTAGTTCAAGCCCAGCTCGACAAGGCCAAACAACGGCCTACATTTAGGCCTTACAGGTCCCTTGTACTCGATGGATAGTAGGGAGCAGCATTCAGATCGAAAGACGCACCGCAATTCCATCTGCGCTTTTCTTTCGGACTGCACTTCGAGGATAGAACGGAAGCGCGAGAATGGCAAACGAATGACCACAAAACGTTATCGTCGAGATATTCCGTTGACTTTATGCCTGATTTGCATATATTCCCCCTTCGAGTGTCGGTATTTTTTCATATTTGCACTTATCGAATTTCTTTGATTCCTCCTTTGTTCTCGGTGTGTTGGATTCCCTTGTGTGCTCGGAACCGGATAAAATTAAAACTGAAAACAATTTCRATTTGTTGCGTTGCCACCAATTTTGGTTCGAAATTTTCTACTGTTTCAATTTGAATTACTATCAACAAATCCCAAAAAATTGATCAATCGTGGCGACACCAAACCAAAACAAAAACGSAACCTGACTTGTTTGAAACGAATGCATCATTTCCATCCCTTTCGAAGTTGCCGAGTCTCTGGATGCCCCCGAGGACCTTATCACTATGGACAACGGGTGCGTCTGTTGCTCGGTGAGAGGTGATCTGGTGAGAACCCTCGGTCAGTTGACGAAGCGTCGGCATGAATTCGATGCCATTTTGTTGGAAACGACGGGACTCGCGGACCCGGCACCGATCGTCTACACCCTTCAGACCAATTCAAAAATGAGCGATAATTACGTTTTGGACAGCATTGTCTGCCTGGCGGATGCGAAGCACCTCCCATTGCACTTGGACGAAAAGAAACCCAAGGAAGGGGACATCAATGAGGCATACCAGCAGGTGGCTTTTGCCGATAAGATTTTGTTGAACAAAATCGATTTGGTTACGGCGGAGGAGAAGAAGGCACTCATTGCTCGCCTCGGTAGAATCAACAACTTTGCGTCGGTCATTGAAACCGAGAAGTCGCGTTGTCCACTGGGAGAAATTTTGGGACTCAATTCCTTTCGGATGGAATCGATCCTAGGAATTGATCCTGATTTCTTYGAGTCCCAWGAAGGAGAATCCCATCACAATCTTGAGGTAGTCCAGTCTGTCGGGTTGCAATTCAAGGGAAACCTTCATGCCCAGTGGTTCAATATGTTCATGATGGACCTCCTCCGGGAACGGGCGGCTGATCTGTATCGTACGAAGGGAGTCTTGAGCTTTCATGGCCAGGGCAACGTCAAATTTGTCTTTCAGGGAGTCCACGAGCAAATCAATTTCGGACCWKCAAAGGAGGGTTGGAAGGATGGCGAAGAAMGAATGAACAAGTTTGTCTTTATCGGAAAAAATCTGAACCGGGCGGAGYTGACCAAGTCGTTACAAGATTGTTTGTACAAAGAAGAAAATAATTCGTCCGAATRACTAGCAATCACACCAAMCGTCGCAACAAATCTTCCAGACGCAACCACAACACTACTAGTAAATTCGATAGTGCAACAACAATAGATACGATCAAATGAATTACAATAATTAGAAAGTGAAACCAACGGCAATRCATTYGATCTACTTGTAATACATCGGCAATTCTTTTGCGATGCATCGGACGGAAATTCCACGTGAATTTTGGAATTGATAGCAAGTGTGTAYAGAGTAGAAGATYGAGATTGTTAAATTGTGCTTTTTCAYCGATATGATGCTATGCATCACCAGCTTCCCTGGCTAAATATGCTAATTTTCAAGACTGCGGGATGACTTGCCTTGTTCTAYCTGCGTTGAGTTTGGAACTACATTGCACTTCGCCAGAGATGAGAAGATCAAATTTTCTTGAGGACTACTAGGAACATATTGTTTGTCTGAGTTTTACATCTCTGCTGTACGGTTTGGGCAATAATGTTTTCAATCTTGATTATTTAGTACAGTGTATTGGACCTGTCATTCTAGACTGCAAAATCCTTAGAAAGCACATTTAGCAAGGGAATCAAATTTTGAACGGACAAGGCCAGCTTGGTATCAGTYTTTTTGGGAATCTGGAATCTTAAATACTACTAGTTCAATGTAAAGACTACAACTAGGTGTGCCTGTGCCACATGGTACAAAGAAGAAAATGAAATTTTCAATCGTCCTTTGTAGTGAAAGGAACACACACACCTTTGATACTCTCATAGTATCAAAAATATGAATGTTCCTTGCACAACTATTTCTACTACTACTATTAAACACGCTACCATTAGACCGTAGTTTCCTCCTAGTAGCAAGAAAAAAGGCCACATTGACAATGGGAGTGGTAGGGGTCCTCAAAATGTACTGGTATATTCAATTGAATGACCAGTAGGAGCAAAGTAAAAGTTATCTACAAAAACTAACCCCAGAAGAGCATCAAAGAAGRGATAGGAGAAACCCCTGACTTGCAATCCGGAGATATGTTGATTCCACCTTCCTCCATCTCTTCCACTCCAGGCTTTATCTGTTGCAAGGTCAATTGCCATTGCCTTTGGCTTGACATCCACAGTGATGTACAAGTGGCTCAAATTTTCAAGGATAGTGATGCTTGTTGCTCTTCACAAACACCTGGATGCCATGGTCAGTCTTCCAACTGAGCAAGAAGTCAATGGTTATGTTATGGCTATTGGAGACMAGAAGTATCCAAGGCTTGGAGAACAATGCATCTGGGCTGCTGCTGATGGACTCAAAGAGTGTCATCCAAGGATCACAGACATGGTATAAACAAAGAGCATTCTACAATGCCTGGAAGGAGATCACCTTTGTTGACAGCGTTTTTTCCTTTGCCCCAGATGGAAGAATCAGGATTTCAGTGTACAACTGCYCCCAACGCTTGGCATGACAATGCTATTGCCAACCATGGTGTCTATAAAAACATTGAGGAGGTCCATGACTAGTCCAACTTAAAGGTTGTGGTGGATTCAGCATTTGCATTGGAAGATAAGGAGCATATCCTCACCATCAAGAGCTCACAAAGGAAGCCTGAACAAGAAGATTTTCTTCTATAAACAGGGATGTAACTTCCTTGAGACAGATGTCTAAATTGGGAATGCAGATGATTCAGGGACAGTTTCCAAGAATCAAAGACTGGATGTGCTCCTGTTTGGAGGAGCTTGGCTTGGAGGAGCTTGGGGGAAAGAACAAGGATCACAACATGAAACCCCTCATCAACTTGTACAACTTCCAAGAATGTAGTACAATATGACACAATCAGATCCTATCAACCTTCATTCCAATCATGGGTAGACCCAGATGTGCAGAAAGAAAAGAAAAATCTTGTAGAAGGGTTCTTCCAGGTTGGTTGTGGTATATGGATAATTGCAAATCAATACTGATAACAAATTGCACAAATTGATACCAATACAGCAAGTTGCAATCTGGTGATACAGCAAATCTGATACAGCAAATCAATGTAGCTCATCACCATTGCAAACTGATTGTCCCTAACTAGTACTCACATATCATGGTCCCTTGCTGTTGGTTGCATTTGGTATGGAAGTTTAAGTTGCTGATTGTTTTGCTTACTTTTATTTGTATGCTCATGCAAGTTATGAGGGGCAAGTAATAAGATGCTCTGCAAGCTGCAAGTTACTCCACTAGCTTTGGGCTCTCATGGTTTCCATTAGGTTTTTGTGAATACCTTCTTGATACAGGGCAATGCCATTGAACATAATAATTTATACTGTAATGAATAGTAGTATTAGTTCACAAAGTATGCTGTAATAAAGATAAGTCTATGATCTGTACATGTGTATGCTGATGAGATTGGAAATGATTCCAAATGACTAGATGTACATGCTGAGATAATTGCATGTGCATGCTGAGGTGAACTCCAGTTTGAGGGATTGCACACATGCTAATCCTGGATTGGAGTAAATTAAAAACCATACGGAGAAGGACACTAATTGTAGTAAGGCTGCAGCTAGCCAATCCTACTGCTTAAAGTAATCTCATTCTTTAGAACTAGTGCTCTTTGTTTTGAATTAGTGTTGAAATTATTGTAATTGTAACTAAAAAGCTTCAGTTTAGACATCTTCACTATGGTATCCCTCCCTGTTACATGCCTACTTGTTGCTGGTATTGTTGGAAGGGGGCACCAGTGCTGGACCAGCTGATGGATAAGAAGAAGAATGGTAAGGAGGGTAGCAAGTAGCATTGCGTTGCCAGCACTGATTGAACATGGAAACAGCAGTTCCAAGCACTTCCTTCCAGAACTCATGATCCTTGTTATCTCTTTGTTGCTGGCTCCTAATGTACTTATTGAAGGCAGCTGTATCTGGAACAGTGGATTTCTTCTTCTGCTGCTGCTATGATCTCTTCTTTGGAGTAGGTGTGGACTCCACAAGAGATGGTGCAGATATGGTGGAAGTTGTTGATTGTACTACAGATGGTACTATAGAGGATGCGCCTCCAGCAAGAACAGTTGATGGGACTCCAGCCACAGCAGTCAACAACAATCCTCCAGCCACAGCAGTCAACACTCCTCCAGCAACGGCAGTCAACACTCCTCCAGCAACGGCAGTCAGCACTCTTCCAACAGCAGTAGTTAGTGCTCCTCCAACAGCAGTAGTTGACACTACTCCTCCAACAGCAGTAGCTGATGCTCCTGCAGCAGTCAATGTTGCTTCAATAGTCAACAGTCCAGAAGGGGGAATGGGAGGAGGCTCTAAACCCTTGTCCTCAGCTTCACTCTTAATGAAGCCCTTCTTCATATCAAAGTTCTCCTCTTCAGTACCAAGATTTACCTTCTTGTTGCCAATTAAGATATGGGCCTCCTGTGCCATCTTCACGTACTCAGGCATGTGTGGATTACCAGTTGGGCTCTTAATCCTCTTTACAGTAATATACTTAGTCTTTATGGAGGACTTGGTTCTACCAAATGGCCCACTTTCTGCATGCTTTCTTGCCACAAGAGCATCCCAGCCCTCAGCATCAATGGGAAGGATATCCAGTATCATATGCATGATACTTGTGATCTCATCCTCCACTGAGTAGTTTGTAGTACCACCAGCCTTGTGGCCTCCATTGCCACCACCTTTGGCACCACCGCCTGCTGTTTGATCGATCTTAACAAAAACAGTGTGTGGGGATTGGACAACAATGAGCTGCCTCTTTGTTGCAGTAGCTGGCCTCCTCCTCCTCTCTTTGCTGCAACAAAGAAAGGAAATAGAATTTACTGACTAAGAGGACTGATAGGGACATACTAGTTTATGTGTCACAATAGAGGTGCCTGGGCGCCATTCACTCTTAATAAAGGTACCTCTCTTTGTTCTTGTTTAGGATAGCTGAGTCTTAGTAATTTTGTCAAGTAGTCTTAAAGATCCTGGTGTGCTTTCTCTTGAATCTCACAACGAACTTGAAATTTTGACTTTTGGGTTCCTCAATAGATCTAGAAACATTTGAATGGGGGTCTTTGGCCCACTCAAAATTTGCTAAAGTTCGTGCTAAATATGCTGGTCTATCTGTCTATCAAATTTGGCATTGATTTATATACCAGTACATGGCTTTGATGGCTAATCGTCAACTACCAGGTACCGTACCTTGATTTGTAGTGGAATGAATTAAAGACGGTACGAGGTACAACAAACCCTACTAATGCGTGGATCGAATTGAAGCTAAAACTGCACAGTTTTCACTAGTAGTCAGAAAAAAAACACCAGCAGGCGGTTTGTCGCACCCTCCAGACAGACCAATTGGGGACACTTCCCCTCCACACATGTACTGGAATAACTTCATTATTAAGAAAAAGGGGATCCAGAAGTCTCAGATTAATTGGCCAACAAGTTTTTTTTTTAATTAAAGTTTTCCATATCAGTATCGTAGCATCCTATCATCCTACGTACAAATTAGTACTACCAAATATTTCGATATAAATCCTTATTGTTTTTTTTTTAGTGAGACAGTTTCAAGTCAGGAACCCTAGTAGTAATGAGGTGTTTTGTTCCCTCCGAGCCGTGTAAAATTTGTACTGGCTCCAGACCTGTCTCCATCTCATTAGGGTTCGTACCTCGTACTTAGGTGATTGGAACTCATTTTGATAATTTTTCTATCAATTCGCACATACAGTATGTAACTGGAACATATTACGAAGTTAATTCCCCAATTGCCTTAACATAAGTATCCACCTCTTGCTGAGTTGGGATCCTGACCATGGCCTCTGGATGCTTGTGAAGAGCAACAAGCATCACTCTTCTTGAAAACTTAAGCCACCTATACATCACTGTGGATGTTAAGCCAAAGGCCATTGACATTGACCTTGCTACCGATCCGCGTGTCCTGTACCAGTAAAGGACCAGTCCTATTGCACCAACTGCATCAACCTCTCTCTTCCTTCCCTTTGGTTTGCCACTGGGAAAACAAGCAACTTCCACTATTTCATTGTCGGTGTTCACTGTATACTTGATCCATACTGGAGCAAACAGGTCCACAAGCTCCCTGAAGACCTTGTGGTCCAGACCACAGCAGTTCAGCAATGCTTGGTCATCCCCTGAGTGGAACATGTAGAGGAAGGGGGAATCAGCATATCTCCTGATTGCAATCCTTGGAGTTCTCCTGTTTGCTTTTGTAGCTTTGCTCCTCCTGTTCCTCTGAGTGCAACTGGAGGTACCAGTACGTGGTGATCACTTCCATTAATCCCATTGTTATCTTTCTTGTTGCTGGGAAGAAACTGTTGTCTTTTAGTGTGTTTGTTGGCTCGTTAGCGTAGAACATGAATTCATTTCCTACTGAAAGTAAGCAGAAAATGAGTTCATGTTTTACTCTACTGTGTTTGTCGGCTGGTTGATAGCGTAGTACATGAACTCATTTTCTACTGAAAATAAGCAGAAAATGTGTTTGTGTGTTACTCTAGTTACTACCCTAAGACATAAACTCATTTTCTACTGACAATAAGCAGAAAATGAGTTCCTCATGTGTTACGCTAGTAGTTGTTGAGTATCAAAAATTTCATGTTTTACTTTGAACCATGGCGCGCGTTTCAGTCTTTTTAGTCTTTACGTTGGAGAATAGTTAAGATTCCAAATTCCTGGAAAGACTGGCATCGAGCTGGCCGTGCTCTCGGCCTGTCCGTTGAAATTCGGATTCCCGTTATTATAGAAGTGCTAAACTCATAGATTCTGGAATTCTATCATTCTATAATGGGTCATTCCCGTAAACATAGAATCTATGCCGTCTTACTTTACGAATTTATGTTTACGGGAATAAGTATGTATGCACATAATCAAAAATCTTAGATTATGGCGCGCTAAATGTGCCTGATTCTGGAATATGGAATTTTGCTTGAAATTAACAGAAAATAACTGCATTCTCGCCAGCAAATATTGAGCTCGTGACTAAGGATTTTTTGAATCCTCGATTCCAAAAAAGTATGTGTTTGCGTACATACTTTTGGCAGCTGCGGGCCTCCGAGAACCAGAAATCTATGTATTTGTGTCTTAAATACATACTTCTATGTCTGCACGTCTGGAATCTAATTCAATTTTCTTAAAATCAATGTTTACGGGAATGACCCAAATATCGGGAATCATTCATTGTTACTGGAACATATTAAATTCGGATAGTACGTTACTATTTTCGGGAGATTAAGTAATATTGACAAAAGGATTGAACTCATCGCTGCTGTCGCAACATATTACTTAGTCTTACGCTGACTCAATGATAGATGGAACAATTTACACGAACAAAATTATCTTATCTGTTCAAACAATCATTGAATAGAAGTGATTAAGAATTATTGTACGAATCATTACCTTAAGTATGTACAAGAACTTTATTCAAGACGAGGATAGAGATAATCCGTACAAGAACAGTTTTTGTCCGTTCAATTAATTTATAATATTATTTATTTATATATGTGGAGCGGAATGTGCCTAAAAATTAAGCGATTGATCATCTCCGAACCTATGCTTGTTGTGCGTCTCANGTATCATATGCATGATACTTGTGATCTCATCCTCCACTGAGTAGTTTGTAGTACCACCAGCCTTGTGGCCTCCATTGCCACCACCTTTGGCACCAACGCCTGCTGTTTGATTGATCTTAACAAAAACACCAGTGTGTGGGGATTGGACAACAATGAGCTGCCTCTTTGTTGCAGTAGCTGGCCTCCTCCTCCTCCTCTCTTTGCTGCAACAAAGAAAGGAAATAGAATTTGCTGACAAAGAGGACTGATAGGGACATACAAGTTTATGTGTCATGATAGAGGTGCCTGGGCGCCATTCACTCTTAATAAAGGTACCTCTCTTTGTTCTTGTTTAGGATAGCTGAGTCTACTACTAGTAATATTGTCAAGTAGTCTTAAAGATCCTGGTGTGCTTTCTCTTGAATCTTACAACGGACTTGAAATTTTGACTTGTGGGTTCCTCAATAGATCTAGAAACATTTGAATGGGGGTCTTTGGCCCATTCAAAATTTGCTAAAGTTCGTGCTAAATATGCTGGTGGTCTATCTGTCTACTATCAAGAAATTTAGCATTGATTTATATAACATTACACGGCTTTGATGGCTAATTGTCAACTACCAGGTATCATACCTTGATTTGTAGTGGAATAAATCAAAGATGGTACGAGGTACAACAAACCTTACTAGTAATGTGGATCAAATCGAAGCTAAAACTGCTGCTGCTGCACAGTTTTCACCACCACTACTAGTCAGAAAAAAAAACACCAGCAGGAGGTTTGTTGCACCCTCCAGACAGACCCATTGGGGACACTTCCCCTCCACACATTTACTGGAAAAACTTCATTATTAAGAAAAAGGGGATCCAGAAGTCTCAGATTAATTGGCCAACAAGTGTTTTTTTTAATTAGAGTTTTCCATATCAGTATCGTAGCATCCTAGCATCCTACTAGCATCCTACGTACAAATTAGTACTACCAAATATTTCGATATTCCTTATTGTTTTTTAAAAGTGAGACAGTTTCAAGTCGGGAAACCCAAGTGTTTTGTTCCCTCCGAACCGTGTAAAATTTGTACTGGCTCAAGACCTGTCTCCATCTCATTAGGGTTCGTACCTCGTACTTCGGTGATTGGAACTCATTTTGATAATTTTTCTATCCATTCGCGCATACAGTATTGTTACTGGAACATATTAAATTCGGATAGTACGTTACTATTTTCGGGAGATTAAGTAATATTGACAAATGGATTGAACTCATCCCTGCTGTCGCAACATATTACTTAGTCTTACGCTGACTCATTAATATAAATTGAACAATTTACACGAACAAAATTATCTTATCTGTTGAAACAATGATCGAATAGAAGAAATTAAGAATTATTGTACGAATCATTACCTTAAGAATGTACAAGAAGCTTTATTCAAGACGAAGATAGAGATAATCCGTGCAAGAACAGTTTTTGTCCGTTTAATCAATTTATAATATTATTTATTTATATATGTGGAGCGGAATGTGCCTAAAAATTAAGCGATTGATCATCTCCGAACCTATGCTTGTTGTGCGTCTCACTTCCCCGAAGTACTTCTACTTATTTTTCCCGATCATTTATTTTTAGTTTTTTTTTACATTGCCACACGTTTGAACAGATGCGTTGAAGAACGTCGAATAGTCTCCAATCACGAGAAGAAAGAACTGTAGATCAATCACAGACAATCAGYTTGTAAGCGGGTTCTCTTTATCCTAGAACTTCCAGTTGCATATGTTCTCTGGCTCAAAATCCCAAGCATCGTGGTGGTTCCCAATATTTTCAGTTTGTCAATCTCCGAACCCACAAATTCTGATGAGCACAAAAAMAACATCATGACCTCGCATACTCCATATACGATAGTATCAATCGGTTGCCATAAGGCTTYTAAGAAGATCCCGAATGAACGTGTGACATATTCAGGAAATTTTCGCGATRCTGATGTGAYTCCGATTAACAAAAATTCCAATCTTATCATTTGCTATCCCCTCGATCAAGTTTCACCTAAAGAGGATGATGTTCGCGAAGTAGAGGTGTGCGATCGTTATGGGGCAGAAACCATGTCGATATCTTCATCCATTGTCTCTGAAGAGCTTCTTACAGCTCGTATTACTACAGTATGCGATGCCTCTTTAGGATCTTYTGAGATAAGCTCTACGAATGAGGCGGAGACGAACATAAGAGAAGACATGAACCATCGCGTCAGATTTMAACCTGGAACATCGATGGCACCCAAACTGACCACTAAGCAAAAGAACATGCGTAAGCTTGTGAACAAAATCCATTATGGCAATAGCGATTCTTTGTCTTCATTATCGCTTTCATCACAAAAAACCTGCGACTCGGTTCGTTGGTGGACAAACGAAGAACTCGACGTCATCCGTCAGTCCTGTGAATCGGCCGTCAGACAACGAGAAGATGGCACAATCGAAGGAGACTCTTCGCTCGAYCGCTTTTCGGTTCGAAACCGCAAGCGCCGTAAGCTGATACGTTCGAAAATGTACGAGACCACCAAGGCTATCCAAGAGTATGAATCTGCCACGAAGACCAAGGTACCGGACCTTCTCTCAGAGGTTCTTGGAATCTATAGCAAACCTATGGAACGCTATGCGATCAAAACGGCATTGAAAATGCTGCAACCAGGACAATATATATMAAAAAGTAGGGGATAGAGTATCATATAACGACTGTGGCGCCCTTTATGCAGGGCCAAGTAGATAATATGGATATTTTCTTTTCAATCATTATAAAACATCAAAAATCGATTGCCTAGATGTCTTTCTCATATTTGTAACGTGTTGCAAGAATAAGAAAAARCATGCACGTATCTAACTCTTGATTGTATGCTTGTAAGCCATCGTATTGAGAACTGGAAATTTCTGGAGGGGAAAAGACTGGATTACTAGCAAATTTTGATAGGTAGTACAAATCGAAGCAGAATCGATGGAAATATCATTTCTGATATTGGAGATTACTATCAGTTACCGTCAAAGTAGCGAGGGTTCATATCATGCTAAGCGTCATACATGCAATCTGAGTCTTTATTTGTGCTCCTTCAASATACGATGCTCTATCCAAAAACAAATTTGAATTGACGAAACCRCTAAAAGACATTTTACGAAGAAAGTGCTGTACGAAGGCAATTATTCGCAGATCATGGATCGAGCTTTGAACAGAACAGGCATTATTGAGTGTAAACTGCACGTTATATTTCTTCCTATTTGATTATKTTATTRTAGGTTTTTCTTGTATTCRATAAAACGCTCYGAGTTGTGTAGTATATCCATTTGCTCTTCGTCAACGGTGGTACTGTTTCCAGTGGTGTTGCTGCTGTTCAATTCTTTCGACATGGACATCAAAAAGGATGCGATTGCGCYAGAGATTTTCATTTCGTTGTATAGTTGTGGATAGAAATTATCATTTCCGTACCAATCCATGAAAGTCTTCAAAACTTGCAATTGCGAATTCACTAGATCAGCCTTCTCCACTGTATAATTATCTCCCAGTTTCTTTGCAAGTAGTTCCATGAATCTTTCTGTGATCAACCGCACCACGGCCTCGATGTTGGCAGTCGCGGTTCCACTCGAATTTACCCAAGTGAGCACCGTTGTAGACAGTAAACATATTGCATCCCGTCTGGGAAGAAGTTTTTGAAATAGCTCAATGTATTCTTGGAATAGGTTGGTGTTTTCCGTTCCTTGAAAAACAATGCCCGCATTTGTTTCCATCACTACCACTAAAACAGCGGTATATGCTTCAACGACGGCATCGTTAGCATCAGGACTTTTTTGACCATTCRTGTTTYCATTCAATTCGGTGTGGAGATCTCTAAGMATTGGGTTCCACACGAGGTCTTTCACAGGACAAGAGCTGCTAGCGATATCGTTTCTAGTTGTGACAACGATTCCACTCAAGATGCAATTTATGAGACATGCAGATATCTTTCCAATCGTTTCTTCGATGTCCATGCGGATAGGATCGTCTCTCTCGTATYCACRAAAAGTACTTTTTGATTCATCATCGTCCATATCATTTTGTTGGTTTCTTATCTTGCCMTCTCTCAAAAACTGACTGAATGTTTGAAGCACACCGCGCAACCTGGACGTAGTGTCAATCGTATTCATTAGGTGGAAAAGTTTTGATGCGGGTCTTGGGCCTTCCGGTGCCGAAATCCAGGTTGACACGAGATTCGTCAAAATTTCCAGTGCCAATTGGATTTGTCCTGTTGTGTTGGTCCATTCTAGCATTGCCTCGTTGACTGCTTCTTCGCCATCCTGTTCGCGATCGATAATCTGGCTACTGGTGTGTTCTTTGTCGCCAACATCATCATTGGTGTCCATCATGTCTGTGTCGTCCATRGCTCCTTCGGCTTCGGCAATCATTCTGGCCTTTTGTTGCTCGCGCATTTTTTCTCGTTTCAACTCCTTCATTTTCTTCTGTCGCCGAGCGATAARCTTCGCTGGCTCTTTGCGTTCCCGAACCTGCGCATCAACTTCTGCTTCSAGTTTTTCGTCGTCCTTCTGTTTTTCCAACAGCGCCTGCGCTTCTCTGAATTTGTGCTCCTGCGTCGACAGCTTGGTACGGAAAACATCTGGTTGGGTCTCGCGAGACAAAAGGATTTGCGTTAACAGTCCTTGGCTTCTTTCGTCACCACCAATTTTCAAACCATATTCCATCAATAGTTCTTCTTGCCACAATAAGGATGCGCTCCGATCGTCGCTGTACAGCGCCAGCTGATAAAGATTTACTAGGCAGCCAATTAGATGAAGCCTCGTAGTTACAGGAAATAGARTTGCGTCTGACGTGCTACCATCATGGTCGACCTTCTTCTCTGCTATTCCACCAAGCAGGGTTTTCCAAGCATTCATACACTCGCCATTTTTGAGAACTTCGGCGAGTTCCCAGTTGTCATCGAGGGCGGAGTGCAAAGACCGAGCGGCATAGAGCTCCGTGGTCTTTTTCAGTTTCTCAAAGATGGCGTCGTGTGCTATTGTTTTGGCGTCCAATCCTCCTTCTTCCAAGCTGTCGTTCATGGCCGTGTCTTCTCCCATTTTCGAGGCCTGATCTAAAACTTGAGAAGATCCCGTATTGTACAAACCCAACGAGAGCAATCCGAATGCGATATCGACAAATGTCTTTTTCTGCAAGTTAATTTGGTTCAAAGCATGGCCATTGCTTTCGATCAATTGGCACAGCGCAATAAAACATGGGGCCGATATAGCGTACCATTGTTTTCTTATTTTCTCAGCCTTCTTCCGTTGGTTTTCTGAGATAGATTTTGTTGATTGCGACTGCTGCTGTTGCTCTACTAAAGCCTTTCGACAATCGTCAAGTCTTCCTAGCAAGACTAAGGTCCAGCTCGCTGTAGTTTGTTTCTGTTGGTCGCTGATGCCCGAGGAAGAAGCGTCCGATAGATACTGTGCCATGCATTCTGCCGCTACGGCCGAACATTCCAAGTCGCTCGAGGTGACCTGTTCACGAACGGCCTGGAGGACCTTCAACGAGACCTGGCGTGAGCCGCCACCACAACGGATTTGTGAAAGTACGCTCGCTTGCAGCGCAACCAAAGCTTCGTGCCGTATTCTCGGATCCGTGTGTCTCAAGCGATGGACCGCCGACTGCGGGTTGGAAATGACGGAGGAAAGCGAGGCCGAGTCGCCGTTGCCGTGCAACGGAGTCTGTTGGTCCTTTCGCTTTTGACGGTTCTTCTTGCGTCGGGTTGCCTTTCCCATTTTGGTCTGTCTTYAACAAGTTCGATGGAATGTAGCCTCGTTTACCCCGGGGTCGCTACAAAGAACGGACAGTGCTTGTGATMCTCTTCTCACGGTTCGAAACGTATTTTGTCGATCGTTCAGAAAAAAATGGAAATGAGTGGTTCCTGGSTGATTGATTCACGCGGGACTGTTTCTAGAGGCTTATGTAAGTATTTGCTACTGTACGGTACTGCCTTACGGCCCGCTGCAATTGGGTGATTCCCGTTCTAATCTAGATGGTCTAAATGTCTAAACGGTCTTCTTCCTCCGGTCCACTATATGTGTCAATTTTGCACCTTTACTACTAAAACAAGTAAGGTCAAAATTTGGGCCATTGGAATGCTTCTTTTTTTGTTTAACAGATCTATTATAAATGTATACATATAAAGATTGTATTAATTAAAAGCATCTGATATACTTGTGGTATCAATGTGATTTTACCGTCAGATGGGTTCTAAACGTCATTTTGATATTTGTTGTTGTGATAATGAAATATCAGCGTAGAGTGAATACATCATTTAAGCTGTTGTACTAGCTTGTTTTCATTWTCTTACGGGTTTTTAAGAAATTAATCGTACATCTCAACAGGTTCCATCCATTCGCCMGGGGAGGGTCTGCGGTTGCGCCATGGAGATTTGTAGTCGTCCTCGTTTTCGCTTTCTGAAGCATCTTCTACAATTATGGTGAGGCGTCTTCGTTTTTGTTTCTGTGTCTTCGCTTTTCCTTTTCGTGGATTKTGGCTGGTCTGAGAACTTCCATTTTCCTTTCTGCTGCCAGTATTTTTCACGATCAACTTTTGTTTGAGTTCAGAAAAACAATCGTCTTCCTGACCATCGTATGATGACTCGTCGGACGAGGATTCTTCGTCGCTGCTTTGATCATCCTCGCTGAGATAGGCAGACGTTTCCGGTATTTCTTTCGTTGCTTTCTTGTTGCGAGATTTTTTCTGTGGTACCTCTTTTTTGTTTTGTTGCTTCTTGGATTGTTGTGTTCTAGAAGAAGAGTTCTTCGCATAGTATAGTCTACCGTCTGGTCCTCGGACGATAACGAATTCTGGCTCATCATTGTTGTCGTCGTCTTCGTCTTCGCTGTCGCTTTCCTCGATGTTAGGTTCATTCTTCTCTTGCCATTTTTGCCACCGTCGTCGTTGCCGCAATTCCTCTTCTCTCATCAGTTTTGCTCTTCTCTGGCGTTGGTAAATTTCRCGCTCCTCTGCTTCTCGTCGGCGGCGAGCGTAAGCTTCTCGCTCTTCTTCGTCTCTTCTCATCCGACGGTAGCGGTTGATTGCTGCTTCCTCTGCTATGGCCTGCTCGTAGGGATCGAGATGCCGCGATGTGTGTCGACCGTACGGATGCAGTGATGCGTATGGGTAAGAGTCACGTCGATTGGTGTAGAACATCATTTTGCTCATCAAATTGACTCTAGTAGTACTGTGTTGTTGGCGTTGTTCGCTGTGTTGGTTTTTGTTTGGGTGAAGGTTCAAATTGTGAGAAMAAGTTAAAGGAAACAATTTGTGGGCACAAAGGCAGCATCAAATTTTGCACGATTGGAAACGCCMCCACGATTGGAATTTTACCGCTATGCCATCTTCGTCGATCTTCTCCGATTTTCGAAGAGTTTTGAAGATACGAAGGTACGTAAGGTACTGTACGTAACATAGGTTTAGTTGAGTCGTGAGTAAGTTGATCCCATAAGAAATCAGAATGGAAAAAGTAACAAGACTGGTTCAGTCACGATCATGGAAGGTTGGTGGAGAGATCCTACGGTACCGGTACATATTACATATGAATACGATTTGTATTCATACCACATGTAACATGTACCATACATATCATTACTACTGACTACGAGTACGAACATTTACCTCCCCGCCCGGGTTTAACTATGCCGGTAAGGTACGGTACTTCTACCGTATGGTCTGGGCATCCTTAGAAAATARAAACCATCACCAAAGGAAGAGCTAGGCAGATGCCGATAAGAGGTGTTCCTTGCGAGAATATAACAGGCAGAAARAGTGATCCAGAGTATAAGAATTGAAATGACGGTGGGCACTGATGCAAAAACAACATCATCATCATCATCAACAACAACAATGACGACGACGGGGAAACGCAAAGAACCTCCACTGCCTTCCCCGGCACCGAGAACATATCATTCRCCTCCAAATTCGGTTGTAGACACCGCTTTCAAAAGGTTGTTTGGTTATTCCTGGGGAACGACCTTTGATCTTTCTAACAGCAAAGTGAAKCAATCACCTTCTGTAGAACGCCAAATGGTTCAAATATTTGGCACGGCTCGAACGGCGCGGATACTCAATCTCCCCTGGGAGGTGGTAGCCCCCCTTTCTTGCGATCCAAAACCCATTTTAAAAGATTCCTACAATCCGGCTGCCATTCTGACCACCAAAATTGTCACCTCCGATACCGCATCGATYTCCATGCCCGTGTCGTCCCCCGCTGCTGCTGCTGCTCCAGCAAGCCAATCGAACAAGAGGATACGGTTGGAAAAAACAGACTACGAGAAGATTGCACTGCCGTCTCACATGCTGCCGTCGTCGTCGGTCGCCGTTGCCTCGGCTCCTCCGGCCGCGGCGCCGGCCACCAGTGCGGACACGAGTCGARCCACCAGCAACATCGACAGCGTCCTGAGTCAGATCGCGGGCAAGAAGCAACTCAACACGGTCGAAAAGTCCAGCAACGACTGGGAGGGCTTCAAAGAAACCGATAAGACCCTCCAGGACGAGCTGGAGCGGCAAGCCCAGGGAAAGAACGCCTATCTTGTCAAGCAAGATTTTCTCAACCGGGTCGACCAGCGCACCTTCGAACTGGAGAARGAGGGACGAGACCGGGAGCGCTCCCGACGAGCAGCMGAGAGCAARTAGATGAAGTTATTGCAAGAGGTTAAAGGGTTGTCTGGGAAAGCATTTCAAAATTATTAGATTCGAGAACTGTCCAAAGTCTATCAARACTTCGTATATAGAGAAAATTCGAGCCAAACCATCTCGCKTGTCAAGTTCTCAGTTTATTTTGTTCMTTCCAGGGTAMAATAGGGTAGCTTAATTTCTGATAGGATGCTTTTCARAATTGCTTGCACTATTATTTTATCTCTATTACTATCGTTCCTTATGTTCTCATTGCTATTTCAGAGTCACCTTTCGATTTCTGTGAGACGGAGAGCGATCCCTTGCCGCAAATTGCAGTGATGAAAAGTAGTTTTGTTTCAATTCTTCCAGCTTTTTTTCCTTGTCCACGATTCGGAAATCCCTATTCAAAACGTGTACGAGGGTATTGAAAGTGTGTTCCGTGGGCTCCAGTCCATTGGCGATCATGTCCCGCAAAAGTTYTTCGGCCTTGACCATATCGTTGCTGTATGCCCTAATGACAATGTTATAGCTTATCGCACTCGGCATTTCGTCGGCACCGAGGCCCTGCATGGATCGCAGCACAAACTCAGCTTTGCGACCGAATCGGTGGTGTTCGTTTTTGTTGTCGCAAACTCCGTCACCMTGGACGTTTGATTCCTTCTTGGCCTTTCCATTTTTCAACTTTTCCTGGTGTTGAAGTTTGTACCGCCGCTCGCGTATCGACGACGGCAACGACAACGAAGCCCAGCAGTTCATGACCGCATTGTACGTAATGTTGTTGGGGCGTGTGTTCAGATTATAGGGGGCGTCATTCAGTTCKTGCATTTTCAAGAGCAAACGCTCGGCTTCCTCGGCTGCCTCGATGGAGTGCTCTTTCGACAAAGCAACGACTATGTTCGTAAAGGTTCTCGCATTGGGTTTCGGATACCTTCTCGAYTGCGCTTGTCCGGAAAGGCTGTCTTCGAGCAGTCTAGTCAAAAGCTCAAGGGCTCGATCCAGATTCCCGAGTCTGGCATAACCGTGGATAATAGTATTGTAGGACACAATGTCGGGGATCACCTGGTACCTCTCGACCATCTCGTCTTCCAAAAATCTTTCGGCACGCTCTGGCTGTCCMGCCTTGGCCCAACAGTTCAAAATGGTGTTGCTGGTACGGAGGTTCAGCCTGTGGCCCATCTGAAACTTGCGTTCGGCGATTTCTTCGGCTTTCATGGCCAAGGCGGCAGTAGGGGGATCCTCCAGCTTCGACAGGGCGCCAATGATTTGTCGGTAAGTAATTTTGTCTGGTTTGAATTGCTTGATGCTATCCGTTCTGTACATGTGGGAATTATTGGGATAATGCTCCCTGAAGGAGGCAAGCTTCTCTTCTTTTTCGCGGTATACCGATTCGGCTTTGGACARCACCTCGATTGCCTTTTCCGGCTGTCTCAGCTTGATCCAGAGGTTGGAAATGGTAGAGCGTGCCCTTGCCGTCGGCTGGATGTCATGGACGACGCGCGGAGGGTCCGGACAGCCMTGTTTCTTCTTCTGCAAGCGTCTTTGTTGTTCGAAAAAGTGATCGAGTCGATCCAAGAACGCCTCGGCGGACACAGCGGCCGGTTCCGTGTTGGCTTTGACGTGAGATTTCAGCACGGTGTTGAGTGTCACCTCGTCGGGTTGYACATTGGATCTATCTCCTTTCAGGTAGTCCATCATCAGCCTAAGGAAGAGTTTTTCTGCCAGTTCAAACCTACCGAGTTCGGCTGGTACGTTCAGCAAGACATTGTAACAGTCAATGTCCACAATCGGCTGCGAACCATTGTCGGTCGGCCATGTCAATGTCTCCTCTTCTATTCGACGCAAAAAGCCGAAGGCTTCTTCATGGGCATCGGTAGCTTCSTTTCTGTTTCYCTTGTTGCCGACCCACGCATTCACAAATAYTCGAATGGTGCTTGCATTTGGCATTGTRTCGAGGGCAGCTGGCATTCTAATACCGTTGTTTCTGCCCGTTGTTTCCAGGTCTGCGTCAAGCGGTCTTTCAGGAGACGTAGCAAATCGCTGCATGTCTTCTAGTATACCTTTTGCAGTTGACAAAGATCCGATGGACGAGCAACTACCAAGAGCTTCGTGGAAACAATCCCGATCCGGTGCTAGGGACAACTCCGGAAATTTGGCGTGCGTGCGACACATGTGCTGCAACAGTTGGTGCGCGTGGAGATAATTTTTCTCGTCGTCKCTTTGGGCGTCCGTGTCGTCGTCGCTGCAATGGCTGTTGTCGGTTGTGCCACGATCCGGTTTCCGGCCCTCCCCGTTCCGACGCCGGMRATTCCTCTCACTCGGTGCCGGCCGCGTTCGTTTCGGGCGGTTTCGGGCTTCGCCCAGCCCCGCCAGGACGCGCCGGTAGGATTCGATTCCCGGCTGGTGGAGCATCGATTCGGTCGGCCATTCCATCAGCAGCTGGYAGGCCTTTCGGGGCGCCCCCGCGTTGAGGTATCCCGTGACTAGCATCCGCAGCAGGCGCGGGTCGTAGCGGTTCTTCACCACGACGTCCTCCGCTCGCTCCAGGAGCTTAACCCGTTTCGACCGCACGACTTCTCGAAAGATCTTCAGAACGGTGTCGTTCGATAGGTGCGTATCCTCGTTGTGCATGAGCTCGAGCATGTTGAGGAGCATGTTTGGATTCGGGGGAATCTTGCTCTTGTTCGAGATGTGGTCGTCGACCAGCCGCTGGAGATARCCCTCGGTCACGGCGGTGTCGACGTCGAGGGACTGGTATTCTCCGATTCCACTGGACACTATTCGGTCAATGGTGGACTCCTCGTAGTCTGTGTTCATGGATGTGATACTGGTGCCCGGTACATCCTTTCTCCTCCCCCGTTTTCTCGCGGAGGGATTTTCTCGCAGGGTTTCGTCGTATCCATCCTCCTCGTCCGAGAACTCTGCGGAGGGTGCCGTTGAGAAAAATGCAGACGAACTCCAGGATCTCCGACCGGGAGGGACGTGGTGGATCAGGGACGAGCCCAAGGCTCGCGAATCCTCGTTTCGCCGCGGTGGCCACAGGTCTCGCCGTCKCGTGGCAATGCCACGAATATCGGGCCGGTGGCGGTTTCTCGACAAGGACAGCAACCGCAGTATCGTTCTGCTTTTCCCCCACGACATGATATGCGTCAGATACCTGTGGAACCGTTGGTGCCGTCCTCCGCTTTAAAATAAGCCTTGCTAACGACAATGCAGCTGTATGGTATTGGTTTGGATCTATGTAGATGGAATGCTGGTGTCCCTTCAAATTTTTGGGGCTATGTGTCAACTCCAATCGAAGATAGAGTRTTCTCGTTGTTTTCTATTGCATGATCCATGATTATTCCTTCTCTCTTCGCCTGGTCGCTTTCAAAATCGATGTTCCACTCATTCTTGAAGAACGCCCAGTCTTTTT